CTCATGTTACCCAGGCTGGAGTGCAATGGCACGATCTCGGCTCACCGCAACCTCCGCCTCCTGGGTTCAGGCAATTCTCCTGCCTCAGCCTCCTAAGTAGCTGGGATTACAGGCACGCACCACCATGCCCAGCTAATTTTTTGTATTTTTAGTAGAGACGGGGTTTCACCATGTTGACCAGGATGGTCTCAATCTCTTGACCTCACCCGCCTCGGCCTCCCAAAGTGCTGGGATTACAGGCTTGAGCCACCGTGCCCGGCCTTTTTTTTTTTTGAGACAGAGTTTCACTCTTGTTGCCCAGGCTGGAGGGCAAAGGCACGATCTCAGCTCACCACAACCTTCGCCTCCCAGATTCAAGTGATTCTCCTGACTCAGCCTCCTGAGTAGCTGGGATTACAGGCGTGTGCCACTATGCCTGGCTAATTTTGTATTTTTTTAGTAGAGATGGGATTTCTCCATGTTGGTCAGGCTGGTCTCGAACTTCTGACCTCAGGTGATCCACCTGCCTCACTCAGCCTCTCAAAGTGCTGAGGTTACAGGCATGAGCCACCGTGCCTGGCCCCAAGGTGCAGGGATTATAGGCGTGAGCCACTGCATGAGGCCCTCTTTTTTAAATTTTAAATTTGGTGATGTCCAAAATTTAAACACCAGTTATAATACTCAACATAATAGTAAATTTCAATGCTGAAAAGCTCTATAAAAGAATCTATGCTTAATAGTCACATTCTATCTAATGCTGTTTTTTCTCCTACTGAGAATAAAGCTTTTTTTTTTTTTAATTTTTTTTTTTAAATATAAAGATGGGGTTTCACCACGATGGCCAGGCTGGTCTTGAACTCCTGACCTCAGGTGATCCACCCACCTCGGCCTCCCAAAGTGCTAGGATTACAGGCGTGAGCCACAGCGCCCGGCCGAGAATAAAGCCTTTTTAAAGCACTGACCATAGGTGTTGGTTTGCGGTTCCGATTGTTGATCTCTGCTCACTGCAACCTCAAACTCCTGGGACAAATGATTTTCCTACTTCAGCCCCCAAGTAGCTGGTGTGCACCACCAACCCTAACTTGTGTTTTTAGTAGAGAAGGGGTTTCACCATGCTGCCCAGGGTGGCCTTGAACTCTTGAGCTCAAGTGATCTGCCCTCCTGGGCCTCCCAAAGTTCTGGGATTATAGGCGTGAGCCACCTAGGCTTGATTGTAAAATTACCTTTCATTAGGTATACACTGCTTATTAGAGGACTGGACTTTTCAGCTCTTCCATACTGTGCATTACACCTGAGGTCAGGAGTTCCAGACCCCATCTCTACTAAAAATGCAAAAAAATTTAGCCGGGCATGGTGGTGCGCACCTGTAATCCCAGCTACAAGGGAGGCTGAGGCAGGAGAATCGCTTGATACCGGGAGGCAGAGATTGCAGTGAGCAGAGATCTCGCCACTTATTGCCTGGGCGATAAGAGTGAGACTCCGTCTTAAAAAAAAAAAATAGTATAGAAGATTCTATTATGCCTCATTCCTGTAGACTACTATTTAGACATCATTCATTATTTAAAAAAGACCAGAATAGGTGATTTTCAAAACCTCAAGAAAAAGAAAGTTACTTTTTTTTGAGACAGAGCTTTGCTCTTGTTGCCCAGGCGAGAGTACAGTGGCTCAATGTCAGCTAACTGCAGACTTTGTCTCCTGGGTTAAAATTCTCATGCTTCAGCCTCCTGAGTAGCTGGGATTACAGGCGTTCACCACCACACCTGACAATTTTCTTTATATTTTTAGTAGAGAGGGGGTTTCACTGTGTTGGTCAGGCTGGTCTCAAACTCCTGACCTCAGGTGGTTCACCTGCCTCAGCCTCCCAAAGTGCTGGGATTACAGGCATGAGTTGGGATTACTGTGCCTGATCAGAAAGTTACTCTTATGAAGTTATTTCTGTTTTATTTATTTTATCATATTTATTTTAGAGATGAGGTCTCACTGACATGATCACTGCTCATTGTAGCCTTGAGCTCCCCGGCTCAGGTAAGCCTCCCATCTCAGCCTCCTGGGTGGCTGGAACCACAGGTGTGTGCCACCATGCCCAGCTAATTTTTAATTTTGTTTTGTTTTTTAGAGATGGGGTCTTACCATGTTGCCCAGGCTGATCTCAAACTCCTGGGCTCAAGCAATCCTCCCACCTTGGCTTCCCAAAGTGCCAGGATGACAGGCTGGAGCCACTGCACCCAGTTGCTATTTCTTTTGAAGAAAAAACTTTATGTGTCCCAGGTGTGTATATTGATTCTTCTAGCATCCCTGGACATGATTATCTTGGAGACCTTTATTGCTGTCTCCTGTAGGTGAGGACACTTTGATGTGGAGTGGGGTAGTGTCTTCACTAGAGTCACACATTGAATTTGTGAAGAGGATCCATGAGCTGTCCTCACGCTGAGATGTTTGAAGATCTGGTGTAGTTTGGCTCTTTCGTATCCTATAGTAGACACCGTATGTAAGAATGCCATATGTAGTCAGGGGTTAATCAACAGGAATAGTTTTGAATTGTTCTTGATAGAGAACAAGAAAATAACAGCTTATTTTACTCCTCAGTAAACCTATCCAATATTTCTTTTCACTATTTGCTTGGTTGTATAAGGTCTCTTATATTTAATATTGGCATTAAATATGGAGTATTTTAGTACATCTAGATATAAAAGTCATTTCCCCCCCTTTTTTTTTTTTAAGAAAATTGTAATATGGCTTTGTTCTTAAATATGCTGGAAACATATTACTTTTTTTTTTTTTTTTTTTTGAGAGGAAGTCTCGCTCTGTAGCCCAGAATGGTGTGCAGTGATGTGATCTCGGCTCACTGCAACCTCCACCTCCTGGGTTCAAACAATTCTCCCTGCCTCAGCCTCCCTAGTAGCTGGGATTACAGTCACCTGCCGCCATGCCTAGGCCATTTTTGTATTTTTTAGTAGAGATGGGGTTTCACCATGTTGGCCAGGCTGGTCTTGAACTTCTGACCTCAGGTGATCTAGCCACCTTGGCCTCCCAAAGTGCTGGGATTACAGGCATGAGCCACCGCGCCTGGCCAATGTGCTTAAATTCATATTTAAGAATTATGATAAGTCTTAAAAGTACTTAGCTTGATTTCCTTAATCAGGCATTTACTTTTCTCTCAGACTAGCCACTTTGGTCAGTTCCTTTTTCTGTTTTGTACCAGTAAAATTTTTGTACCCTTTGATTTGCTTTTGCCTTCAAAGCCCATGATTAATTCTGTAAGAAACCATGAGTGATGAGCAGACTTTGCCTTTTGAGAATAGGTAAAGTTATCTGGAATCTTCTCTGATGAATAAAATACATAACTGAGTTGCTACTGTGTGACAAATACTGTGCTAAGCACTTAATATGCATTATCTAAATTTATCTTTGTGGTCATGCACAGTGGCTCATCCCTGTAATCCCAGCACTTTGGGAGGCTGAGGCAGGTTGATCACCTGATGTCAGGAGTTCTAGACCAGCCTGGTCAACATGGCGAAACCCCATCTCTACTGAAAATACAAAAATTAGCTGGTGTGGTGGTGTGTGCCTGTAGTCCTAGCTACTTGGGAGGCTGAGGCACGAGAATCACTTGAACCCAGGAGGTGGAGGCCGCAGTGAGCTGAGATTGCGCCACTGCACTACAACCTGGTGACAGAGCAAGACTTCATCTCAAAAAAAAAAAAAAAAAAAGTTGCTCAGGCTCAAAGCACAAAATGATGGAGCTGAGATTTGAACCAGTGTTGAATGACTCCAGAACCTCTGCTTTTAGTCACTGTTACAGTCTCACTCCATCCAGTTAAGAGGCTCGCCTGAGGGCAGCTTTATTTCTGTGTGGAAATTCTCATATACTTACCATCATCCCACATCAAACAAGGGCTATGGGGGTACCTCTTTTCCTGCTTCAGGGATACTGCTTGCCATTTGGAGGGATAACCTGGAAGTGTGGGGGAATTAATACCCCAGGGTATTCTCAGTTGGAATTGGTGGATAAATGCTCCAACCTCCCTGTCCTTCAGTTGGACAGTCCAAAGTACTGTCTACATGGTTCCTTAGAGAGTCCCTATAAGATCGAGCCC